CCCGAAATTTTTTAAAATCGGACCATAACCACGCCTATATCCCATATAACGGTAATTTAGAGAAATACAAAATCTTCGATAAATCAGTAAATATTGAAGCTAATTTATTCAAAATTGATGCTTGCAACAATTCTTTACCAAGAAATACGTTTATGGTAAAATTTTGGAAAATGGGCGTGGCNCGATAAATCAGTAAATATGAAAGCTAATTTATTCAAAATTGATGATTGCAAACAATTCTTTACCAAGAAATACGTTTATGGTAAAATTTTGGAAAATGGACGTGGCACCGCCCACTTATGATATCCTATATGTATATCGGTAACCGTTCTACCAATTTGTACCAAACTCGGTATGGTTATTGTNTAAATATGAAAGCTAATTTATTCAAAATTGATGATTGCAAACAATTCTTTACCAAGAAATACGTTTATGGTAAAATTTTGGAAAATGGACGTGGCACCGCCCACTTATGATATCCTATATGTATATCGGTAACCGTTCTACCAATTTGTACCAAACTCGGTATTTTTATTGTGCTTGCCACATAAAAGCAAAATATTGAAAATTACTGATATCGGACTAAAATTACGGCCGCTTTTCATATAACGGTAAATTTCAGAAATGCTTGAAACTGCAATATTTCGAAATTTAAGGACGCTAATTTACTAAAAATTGATACACCCCGGCTTACCATCTAACACAGCGCGATAGTAAATTTTATCCACAAATATCAATATATTTGCGAAACCATGGGCCAAATATAGTAAAATTGCGTTTTTAGTTTTTTACTCTAAAGCCAGTTACTCAAAAATGATTTAAAAAATGCAGACAAAAGTGCTTAGAGAATAAGTATGGGTATCAAATTAAAGAGGAGATCCTGTAGAATTTAAACGGATTTAAGTTTTTGGTACAGAAGGCCTGGTGAGTATTGAAAATGTCCTTTTAAATTTTATCCTTGAAATTTGGCAATATTTGTTTTTAAAAAAATTATATGTTAAGGACTTATATAAACTCGATAACATCCTCGAATTTCGTCCTTCTAACTTTACCAGCTATTCGTCCTTGTGAATCCAAAATATTTGAATTTTTTTAAATTCTAAAGAAATTTCCTCTTGCATTTGGTACCCATACTTTTATTCTACATTGCATTGAATTTTTTAAATGATTCTTGGAATTAATCATGAAAATGCACCATGGATGACCAGCCCGCTATAAAGTGAAACCACCGAGTTTCTAATAGAGAATCACACCGCTACAGAGGAGCGTTCTTTATTTATATAAGATTTTAAATCTAACTGCCTACATAACTAATCTACTGTACATAACACTTCCATAGTGCTATTCACATATAACTTAAACCTAATTAAACACCAAAACGCATCCAGAGACTGTACAAAGCCGCATCACATATTGAGATTTAAAATACAATGCATATTTCGTACTTTTGGCTGTGCACATAAACGTAAGCCACAAATCATGCACTCAAGCATCTCTTATCCAAGTGATAAGTGTCATTGAGTCGCACGGTTTGCTTTTCCTTACCTAAACATTTAATTTCGTTCTTTACCTGCAGAAAATCTGACAAGCGTAGAACTAGACCTTTTGCCGACAGTATTAGTTCTAGCTCAATACCCAAGCAATGCTTTCAACTGTCCAATTTTACACGGCGATGTCATTGGTGGTGGCAATTGTCGCCCACTGCATTACTTTGCAACTCGTTCTGAACCGGTTCCGTTTGGACAGTTCTGGAGTAGTTCTATCTTGTGTAGTTTTAAGATAGTTCAAAAGTGGATAGTTTCAAGCTAGTCGAAAAAAGACAATACTTATAATCCTACTAGTTACAAAACTAGTTCAAATACCCATTCCATTCAAAAACAGAATATAGATAAAAAATAGTAATTTCCACAAAGTACACACTTTTATTGTTAACGTACATTAAATAAACACAATACATAAATATGAACATGGCCATAATAATAGAAACGCCTTATATTTTAAGTATATTTTTTATATAAAGTAGATATCGATGTACATATGTATGTATGTATAACATATTGAAGCAAATTATGATTTAACTTAGTCTTTCGTTCATTTCAATTCATATTTTTCAAAGTAAATTTTTATTTATATGGTTTTTATAAAATTGATACATAAAACAGTTTTGTTTATAGTAGAGATCGAAATACATATGTATGTATGTATAACATATTGAAGCAAATTATGATTTAATTTAGCCTTTCGTTCATTTGCACTCATATTTTTTAAAGAAAATTCGTTTTTATAAAATTGTTACATGAAACAGTTTTGTTTATAGTAGAGATCGAAATACATGTGTATGTATGTATAAACTATTGAAGCAAATTATGATTTAATTTAGTCTTTCGTTCATTTGCACTCATATTTTTTAAAGAAAATTCATTTTTATATCGTTTTTATAAAATTGTTCCATGAAAGTTTTGTTTATAGTAGCGATCGAAATACATATGTATGTATGTACAACATATTGAAGCAAATTATGATTTAATTTAGTCTTTCGTTCACTTCAATTCATGTTTTTTTAAAGTAAATTCTTGGTTATATCTTTTTTATAAAATCGTTATACATATGAAATAGTTTTGGTTGCAGTAGAGATCACACTACTTATACTAAATATGTTGATTTAAGGCAAGCTCTGGTTGAATAAGAATGACATACATTTTAAGTTATATGGGTGGCCTTTCGTAGGTGGTCCTCTGCATTGTCGAGCTTCGGCAATTGCGAAATTGAATCTATTTTATGGAAGAAACATATATGTAGACGTTATGTACGTATAGAGTATTTTATTATTAAAACTGTTATTACTTACCCAGAAGAGCAGCATAGAATTTCTCGTATGTTTTGAGTCTTTTTTTCCGTGTGTCCCGTCTAAATTATGGTTTAGAACAATTGAATCGTCTGATATGTTTTTTAAATTTCGTGTAGCACTTTGCTGAAGCAGTCTCTTAATGGTGGAAACCTTTGAAAGAAATAAGCATAAAGCGTGAGCACAAATATAAGTTTCATGATATTTTTTTAAGATATATGCAAATAGATATGCAATAGGTACCCAAATCAAGTTAGTATATGACCGGAAAATAAGTACGATTTTGACACTTACAAAAATCTCGCGATTCTCCGGAAGTATCTTTTCCTCTATCGCCTTGAGGCTCTCTTCAGTTGTTAGCGGAAATAAGCCTGCAATTGGTGCCCCCACTGACGCCTGGCGAATCAACTTTTGTGCAATAATTTTCTGCTCCGCAAGAGCTGCCATAATGGCCTTATTATGTACAAGTTGAGTTTCTGAAAGAAATATGTATAAAGATAATTTATAATCTTGTGGCATATAAAGTGCTTCTTACGTTCCATTTGCTCCAATTTGTTGCATACAAACGATTTTAATTTAGTGAGATCACACTAACATCAACAAGTTTGTCATCTATTGTAGTGCAGTTAGAGGTGGAACTTCTTGGATCACCGTCTGTAATAAAGATTTTGAAATGCACTATTTATTAATAACAAAAGTAATTACAAATGTGGCATGTACTTACACTGCGGTTGAATATTTTCAGTCCCTCTCTCCATAATTTTGAATTTTTTAAACGACACTATGTACTTTTTTTAAATATATATGTACGTTCATACCCAACAAGCAAAATAAACTTAAAGAAAGTTTTTTTTAAGTTTTCAATTATAAACATTAAGCTTACAAAACGTTGATTTTTTGTTTATAAAACGCTTGAAAGTAAGCGTAATATAATCGAAAAGGAACATTGGTTATAAGCGTAGAAATATAAACTTGTAATAAATGTTCAAAAGAAAGCTTTTTATAAGCGTAAAAGTGTAAACTTATAATAAAGGTTCAAAAAAAGTTTTTTATAAGCGTATCAATATAAACTTACTAAAAATTTTCAAAAGAAAGCTTTTTATAAACATTTTTATAACCCTTTATTTAAAGATATTTCATTAAAAACTCATACATAGATTGCTTAACATCTAGAAACTAAACGAAATGCGAATTTTCGGCGGACTCATCTACAGTCGCGAAAATATAAATAGGGAATAGACATTTTAGCATACAAATTCACAATAACACATACAAATTAAGCATAAAAAAGTTAATTATTACATCTTGTTGCGTGCTTTCAATTACTTGCGGTTATTGGCAAATTGGAAAAGCGACATCGATGCAGCTATATATTCCGCTTCATCGCCGCCATTCTCATTGATGAACTTTTCTGAAAAAAATTTAATACATTTTTAATTGAATGTTAAACTAAGAAAGGATAAGGGGAACTCATCATTTGAAGACTCGAATGCTCCACCGATTAGCGCAGCGGGTCCTGGATTGGACTTTTTTTACCACATCGGTTTTATTTAATTTTTTCTTTTAATAATATATTTTAAAAAACGTAAACACGTCACTTACGATTGAAAAAATTTTATATTTACTACTTCATGTCGTTGGCATTTACATTTCATTTATAAGTTTAAGTTATTTATAAACATTCGCTCTCAAAACTTATTAAAGGTTTGTTTGAAAAAACTTTTAATAAGCTTAATATTAAAAATGCTTATTTAACGCTTATTATAGCAAACTTAATTTAAGTTATTTTTAAAAACGTTTACTGAAATGCTTGTTGGGTAAAAATATGTATCTATGTTTGTGCGTACATTTATGTGTATGTAGGAAAAAATGTGAATGTGGGATTTTTTTATTATTAAAAAATTATTACAAACATCCATGCAATATTGGAATCATGAGCAAGCGGCCTTTATAGAGTAAACTCAACAATTTGCATTCTATTTCGTCTACGGAAAACGATATTTCTTCTTCCAATGGAGTTAAATATACTACACATATGCCTAATGTCACTGAATCTACAGGTTCCGTGAAAAAACTTTTTAAATTTGTAAACTTCTTTCCTACGACTAAGCCCCCATTCTCATTTTTAAAAATTGGATTTTTATAGGAGTATACGTAAAAACACAGTTATTACGTTGGTACTGATACCTTCCATTTTTAAGTAATTTTAAACCTACGCATACAGGCTGTTTTACCAAATTCTCAAGTGTAGTTCTGTTATAAAGTTGTTGTAGCACATCTGTTGGTTTTTTGACATACTTTTTAAGGATCTGTAAGTAGTTTTCAAAACCGTATGCAGATGAGCCAGATACAATACCTATCGCTTTAATATTTTCAGCTGAGTGAAGTAGGTGATGGACATTGTACGTGACGCTTTTTTCTCCAAATATGGCGGGAAGGTTTTGAACAAATAATGAGAACATATTTTGGGCTATATTAATATTCGCATAATAAGTCTTAAGGCAAAATAATAATGTACAAGCCGAATGAAGAAGCAAGTATTCATAGTATAGATTAGGGACCGGCAGCAGAACAGCCCGATCGCAGCAGCGCGGGCAAGCAGGTGCGGGATGCGGGGCAAAAACTTCAAACCGAAAGGGTAAGCAACAGGGATGGAAAATAAGTTTTTCAAATTGTACCTATTTGTACCTAGTTCTATCTAAAAGTAAATAAATCTACCTAAAATGGTTTTTATAAGTATGAATTCTTTCATAGTAGGGGGAAACTTTTTCCTTCAATGCCATATCAACTTTTGGAATAACATTAAATAAATTTGGGTATAAAAATTACGTAGGGAGAAATATCTTCGAGCAGCTCGAGACAAAACAATGTTTTAAAAAAGGTTAATCACTTTACTTTTTATCTGAAACTAACAAAGGGTTTCATGAAAAGTTATTTGGTTACGTTGCAGGTGTACCTTAAATGGTGTGCTTGTACCGAATATATTTTCAAATTAAAAAACGGCTGAAAAAATATAATTGCATTTGCACTTCCATCACTGGGAAGCAATAGCCATGTACTTGCGCGCGCGCATGTGTTTGTAAAGAAGAGAGGAAAGCGCTGCTACTATGNAAAAGTTATTTGGTTACGTTGCAGGTGTACCTTAAATGGTGTGCTTGTACCGAATATATTTTCAAATTAAAAAACGGCTGAAAAAATATAATTGCATTTGCACTTCCATCACTGGGAAGCAATAGCCATGTACTTGCGCGCGCGCATGTGTTTGTAAAGAAGAGAGGAAAGCGCTGCTACTATGCTCAGTCACGAGTACGAAGAGCACGGTTGCCAGATGTGGAATTGCGTTGTTAAAAAATCTTGGAATTTGGAATTTAATGCAAACTTAATTTCATTACGAATATGTACATACAAAGTACTTATTCACATACATATGTATCTTAAGTTTTTGTTTTGCAATACTATAAGTTAAATTGATATTTTTGCGGACAATTGCTCCCTATAACTAAATATACTTACAATAAAGAATTATAGATGCATAGATAGCATGCATGTAAATACTTGTATATACGTAGCTTTGCAGCATTTCGTTCGTTGTAAAGTTCCATTCATGCTTACAGCTACAAAATCTTTGTTAACAATTAGTGTTAAGAAATAAATCAAAATATGTGCATATACGTATATGCTTATGTATGACAAAAAATCGGAATGAACCCAGTGGGAATTAGGAGCACGTAATAATACCTTATTAGCAACTTACTCTTCACCTGGCAGTCATTGCCATTTCCCTGCCGAACGTCCCTTACTTTTACAAAGGCATGGCCGCCTTATGTAATTAGGAATTTAGAATGTACATTTGGTATCAGACATACTTCTGAGCCGCTTTACAAAGTAAGTTACGTGTAATGCAGAGAAGTCGCTCGGAGTAGTTCGGCGCTTGGAGATAACTTCGGCTGCACGTTACTTTGCAACTGACAACGTAATGTGTCGTTGGAGGTGTTCATTTTGTGCTTTACTAGTAGATGACATTGGCCATGATGACAATTTTGGTACTAAAAACTGAAAGAAAACATGGCTTACCTCGTAAGGTGCTTACCTATTTTCCCAGTGGGAAGATGTGGTATACTTTTCTGAATACATATATAAAAAATGTTTTCACACATATTTGTATGCATGTATGTACATATGTATAATATACCAATTTGTACATTATTTCACATAATCCGAATTGCTATGAACGGTGTATTCAAAGTGCATGCTACGAACAATCTGATATATGCGGTGCGCTACCTTTGCTATATTAATTAAAATACTGCATCATAGCTACATTCATTGCTTTTTTAATTTAAAAAACAAATTACCTCAAATAATGAAAGAAATTCGTTTCAGGCAATATGTACTATTGAAAATGGAGGCTTTTTTCAGAAATTTAAGGAAATCGGCTTTGACAGAGTTGGCATCGCTGGTTTGTACTCACCCATACTTGCTGTTGTATTCCAACCGCACACACAGATTCAACTCGCTCAAACTTTGTGTTTACAAGAGAATGCGCACAGTGGGACATTTTTGTTAAGTTCACTTACAAAACCTTTATTGCGTAGTAGGAATAGTAAAATAAAACTAAGTTTTTATTTATTTACATTCAAACTAAGTATAAAGAAAAATAATCTATGAATATATGAAAGGAACAAAAAAAGATAGGTAAAACCTTTTATCAATATTATAACCGAAATGCCTTTAAGGTTAGTTCCTCTATGTTAGGAGTTATTTCCTGTGCTGCAGCTAAACGCATTACATTCTTTAAATTAGTGTCAGAAATTCGATTTCTTAACCTACTTTTATTAAGTTTCATTAAGGAAAAAAATTGTTCGCATGAGTATGTGGAGCCAAACATTGCTATTACTTCTGCAGCAAATAAACGTAAATAAACAGACATTTAGCTTTGTATCAACTCCTCGAATAAAAATCGCTAATTGTGCTATATCGGCTATGTCCGTGCTCTCGTCGATTGCTAATGAAATTGCTATGAATGATTTTATACGTATTTTTAACTGTAATTCCATATTTTCCGCCATTTCATCTACTCGTCTGCCGATAGTTCTGCCAGATAAACATATGGCCTCGTATTTAGGCAATTCGGAAGGGGATAAAATTCCTACTGTTTTTAAAATGCAAGATTTCACTATTGCGCCATCCGAAAAAGGACGATTCCCACAAACAAGCTCCAACGTAATTTCATAACTTGCACGCTTTGCACCTACAAGGTAATCTTGACTATCCTAAGAAATTGAGACAAATTTAAATAAAGTAGGGCCATTAACTTATATATTTTAAAGTATCGTTAAAGCATTAGTTAAATTTAACAATTAATTTTTAATTTTTTCAGACAAAAAGATTAATTATGTCATTAGCCTCATGTAATTAAAAAATGTAAGACTTACCGCTTTCGAACTGAGTTCTTCGTTCGGATTCAAGGATAGGTAAATCTTTTTTCTTTCCTCTCCTTCATATTTGTCATACTCACTACCATGAATCTCGTAATGCCTCTTTATGTTATATACTTTGCACATAACACGTTTTTCACATATAAGGCATTGCGATTCTCCGTCAACATATTTGCAAAGAAAAGCCACATTCCACTCCGCATTAAAATTTAAAAGTTTCCTTTTATTCGCTGAAATGCTCATTTTGTTTCACAATTAAGTAAATTTGTCCCACCATATTGCTAGTAAGCAAAAAATTTGCGCACTCCTATTC